TATATAGAATCACTTGACTAGCTCTCTTTCATATTGCTCAAGGAACTTTTACTTAAGTGCGTGTTTGTGTGTCTGTGTGTCAATGTTTATATTCCTGTTTGCAGAGGTATGGAGATTAAGATGCTGTAACCTTTGTTTTGGTTGCAATCTCCTTTCGTCGTATAGAAGTGGTTTGATTTCTTGTCTGAAGACCTCTGCTTCAGTTGATATGATAATTCTCAGCCTTATCTCTTTATGAGTTATAGCTCGATGCTAAGAATGACAAGACTCACTGATGATGCTGATTACGATGCCGACGAAATGTCTCAGAATGTAGCAAGTCGAAGGTCCAATGCCGCAAATCCATATGAATACTATGACAGAGGAGTTCGAACAAGATGTGTCTAACAAGATCGCCCTGACAACACGACCAAGTTGGGAAAACGAATTCAAAACAACTCCTGTTAAGGGACTTTGTGATATGTTTCTAGCAAGGCTGTCTTTAAAAGGCAGCAAAAGAGGCTTGAGAACTAATTAGATGTGCTTACAACAAGTACACTTTTAGTGCAAGCTTTCATTGCTCACTCCATTCCCCAGTTTACTTGAAATACTTTGTGACAATTTGCAAGTTGGCCAATTCTTCTCCTTTCCCTGCAAATAAATCAGGCCTATTTTCTACTCATTTTGTTGTTCCAGAATCTAAACTTTAAGGTACACCCTTTTGCCCCCTCCCGCTCTCAGTTACTCCCCAAATACCCAGTCATTAATTCGCCTATTAAGTATGTTTCGAAAGTACCAGTAGAAGCTGATTAAGCAATGCATAAGGAAATAAAAAATGGTAATTGAATTTTCCCACAATCCTATGAGCCAGAATCTCGCTTCCATTTAAGTACACTTAGCCTTGCATCCAAACAGGTGTTTTCACCCTGGTTGGACCACAGTTTAGACGTCGTCTGTATTGGAAGCATGTAGAAATTGTACATTGCACTCATCGAGTTCGATTCCCATTGGAGGTGTAGATGAGCAGCAGGTGAGGTTGAAACTGCAATCCAGCCCGGATGATAATACCTTTGGGGAGGCAGGGTTATGTGAAATGCTATGGATAGGTGTGATCTAGTCATATGATTGTGGGAATATTCATCACCTTATGCGACTTAGTGTGAATAAGGCTTCATCATGGTCTCCGATCTCCTTTATATGAGATGTGTAAAACTAACGGTTAATTTTTGTTAACAAGTAGGTTTTCACCCTTATTTTTTTTAAGGTGATGAAAGGCTGTTAGTTTACTTTACCAACAACGATAAGAGTAGGCCTCACGTTTTCATTGAATTTCACACAGTCTTGCTTTCCCAAACAGTTTTCTCATCCCAGCTGGACTGGACTGCAGTTTCGACCTCGCCTTAACTCCTCTCACCAGCACCCCCAACGGGACTCGAACCCGACTTGTGGCGTTAATCACCACGCCAACTTGCCACGAGTTGCCTTGGGTGACAGGACTGGTGTGAATTTCAAGGAAGACCAGACCTTTTCCTATATCACATTTTGTGACCTGTTCTGTCACTTGTCTTTCTGCCCTCTTGCCCTCTCACATGCTTACATCACCATCCAATTCACCCACCGTTTGGTCTTGATACCAGACACTCTTGCCAGAGACCACGAATCCGAGTATGTGTGATCAGTTGACTCTGATTCTCCACTATCGGGTATGGGACATCGACCTTGACGGTGTTGGTGAGCCACTCCGGGCGCACCAGGGACCAGATTCCGAAACCCAGATTTCCGGCACTCCAAACGAAGCTGGAGCAGACAAAGCAGAGCCAGGCAGCACGAAGTGGTCGCATGCTGGTTGTCACAGGATGAGCCGGTGTCCGAGGCTCACAGAAGGGACAGCCTCGAGATTGGATGACGAATTGAAGTTTCACAGTTGGCCGACAAAGCCGAGACCCCAGCGTCGTGGGAGCAGGGAAGACGGATCAGAAAGCACAATGTGATAAGGTAACACGTAAACACATTTGTGGGCAGAACTGTTAGTGAAATCCGAATATTTCGCCCAAGTCGTAGTTGTGCTTCGCCTTCAAATGTTAATCACACTCGCAGGACCAGAAGGCACTTTCGCCTGACAAGGAGGAGGCAATCTAATTTATACATGCTGCATGACATCTGATTAAATGGAGGAGCACATCGAGTCTACCGAATCAGACAAATGAGAGGACACAATTGTGGCGCATTTCCTCGTCTCGTGGGGGCAGCCAAGCCAAGGAAAGAGAGCCTGACAGAAGACGATCTTGCTCGCTGGACTCGAACAGGCCTAAGCTGCTATCCTACCACGAGGCTCGTGACACTCTGACCGTGTATCCGACTGCCTCTGTTCCTCCGTCTCGCTCCGCATTGGCCTGTTTGTGTGAGTGTCCCGGCAACCTGTCATACTTCGGACAATGACAACCGAGGCAGCAGCAACCGAGGCAGTGCTGGACTGGCGGCCAAGTTGTGCCAGAAACGCCAATGACGTACGCAAGGACACGCCGGAACAGAGCACACGAGCGAACATGCAACTGACTGCTCTGGAATGCTTAATGAGGCGATGTATGGGTTGGTGTATGGTCTGGTTGTCGAGGCAGCCAGTCGTGCTGTCATGAGAGAAACTCGAGAGTTCTAGGTGCGCAGGTAGATACGTCACCCAAAAAGGCACGCATATTAACATAACCTAGCATCTCACTGTGGTGATGGAGAAATTGAAATTTTATAGATTTTGTTGATCTACCAAAAAAAACCAGTCGAACGCGAATTCGAAACGGACAAATATGCAAATTGGGCCATGATAAAATAGATAATAGAAACGCACCTAGGCATAGATAGGCCATTTTCGTATTAGAGTAGAGTTTCGAGACTATCAGTAAATCAGTAATATGAGATGTATTCACCCAATTTC